TTGTTGAGACACCGTTACATCCTCAAAAAGTCACTGTGTGGGGCTCCATAGGCAGAAGGAATCATTGGTCCATATTTCTTCAAAAATGATGTCGGCCATAATGTTACAGGCAATGAGGAATGTTATAGAGTCATGATTAATGACTTTTTTCTGTGCCTTAATTTGAAGATGTTGATGTGGACGACCTTTGGCCTGGTCTCCAAGGTTGTGCGATTTAATACCGCTTTACTATTTTTTGTGGGGTCAGGTGAAGTCGCTTGTCTACGCAGATAAGCTCGATACGATTGACGCCTTGGAAGCGAACAATCGGCGCGTTATTTCCGCCGAAACCATTTTTAAAACATAATGACAACCCTTATCTTTGTAATAAGACTAAATTCTTGGCCATAACGTTAAATTATTTTATATGCATTTTATTTCTTCTTGTAAACCATATGTCTAAAGAATACCCTATATTTTGCCTTATTTATCTTCAATTTTTTATAACTTGGATTGTGACGAATCGAACTGGCATAATCAAACAGAGATAGAAAGTAATGAGTTTATAGAATATTTTAATGAGCAATCTATTTACTCTCTTGTACTGAATTTAATCAGATAACTTTGTTGTTGTTTTCACATGTAAATATTTAGAAAAGAGAGCAGAACTCAATCAAAACGAGTTGAGAAGTGGCGTATCGAAAATGGATTGAAAGACATGATACCAAGTTCTGGGCATTATAAAAATAAAATTATAATATATCTTTTAATAGAGATAATTTTTTTTTAATAATGAACACATTTAATTAGCGATTTACAAAATTTTCATTACCATTGATCAATAGCAGTATGCACAGTTTCTATTGGCATTGAGGACGCTGCTCGAACTGAAGAATGTTTTGAACTCTCCAAATTTCTGTGGGGTATTCGACAGGCCATGTTCTCCAACTTGAAATACGAACTGTAGTGCAATGGTTTGAAATCTGGACTTCCAGACGACCAATTATCTGCAGCTGTGAAACCAAGAATATTGCTTTTAAGCCACTGCTGAGTGGCTTTTGCCTTGTGTGCCTGTTCAAAATCTTGCTGAAAGAGCCAATGCTCTCCATCGAAGAGAATAATGCTTAACTGCTTTACCAAGACTTCTAAAATTTATAGCTATAAATTTTTTTTTTATATTTATAGCTACACAAACCTACCATGTCTAACATCCTGTTCCTTTTTTGTTATTTGATACATACAGAATTACCATTTTTATGAATTAAGTAAAATTACAAAATTTTATAATTTATATGCATAACATTATTTATTATTTTCTGCTTTCACTTTACCTTCAACTAACCATATGACTGTGGCTGCAGGAAAAAACAAGCAAACTGATTTTTGTGAACTTAATTTTTAAAGAAAACTTCTGAGATGTTTTAAAATTTAAATTTAACAAAATAACAGACTCTGAAAGAAAAGTTTGAAATTTTCTTAAAAACTAGTTGATGGTTCACCGAAAAACTGGTAGGTCATTATACAGAGAAACATATAAAAATAATCATAAGAAAAATAACACGGCTACGCTTTAGACTGCTGTAACTCAAAAAATATTAAAAATATGCATTTAAAATCTCAGTAAGTTATTTTTAAAGGTGTAGACTATCGAATCATTCGAAAACAAAAAAAAATGTTTTATTGTCTTAAGCAAATATCGAATTAGCAATTTTTATAAGCGTTTTAAAGCATATAAAATGTGTTGTGCTCCAATTTGAACGCCATTCTGAAATATATCACATCTGAGTTTAGATGTTATTTTTTGTGGCCACAGTTAAATCAGTGATCGATTTTTTCCCTAATTTTACTTTAATTAATTTGATATTTTCTACCTCTTTTACAGTGAATATTTGAATTAAAACCTTAAGCCAGCAATGCATTAATAGTTTACCAAGCAATATTATGCAGATAAATATAACCTAAACATATTTGCAAAGAAAAAAAACTACATAGTTTGCGCTTCTTCCACAACACAAAAATATTTACGACTATATTTTGTAAAATTATATAATTTACCCTACTACGCTATAGAAATTTTATATATATACATAAGTGTATACATATAAGCATACATTTTCTATTGTTTATATGCATTTATGTAATTGTACTATTATTATTACAAAAGTTTTTGGCCGAAAAGAGGACACAACTATTCATTAATCAGCATGTTTGAAAGCGAATGACAGTTTAACTGAGCACAATCAAGTATAAATTTATATATTCATCAAGCAAGTAATTCAAAACCAACAATACGTTCAAATGCCTACACCTACACACACACACGCTTGCAATTCCACACAAACAACGTGGAAGCAGCTAGCAGCGAGTTATTGAAGAGGCAATATATTTCCTTACCCCTTTTGCTAATTTTATATATTTACGCCTTAAACAATTTAATTGAATTATATAAAAAATAACTGTAACTGTATATTCATAAAAAAAATTTTTTTTTTGAAAATAACAAAAACCAACAACATGAACACAGTACATAAAACTATATACATATACTATATAATTATAATACATAATATGCTTTATTTTTTATATATTTTTATATAATGTAGTACGAATGATTTAAACAAGCAAGAAACAATAAAATTGTAAAACTAATTTTAGAATATAAAAAGCAATTTGTTAATTAAATATTTTTATATTTTGGTTTAATTTTAATTGCATTTAAAAATTTTTTTTGCCATTTTATTTTCAATTCAAATTTAATTTAATTATTTAAAAAAATGTTTTAATCTAATTTAATTTTTTTTATTTATTTATGTTTTTTATTATTAATTTTTTTGTTATTTTGTTTTCTTAATTTTTTAATCTAATTTATGTTTTATGGCATATCGTACAAAACATTTATTCGTATTTTTACCCTCATTAATGCTTAACACTTGTTGGCTCAAGCATGTGTTTGAAGCCCCAAACCCGATTGCTGCACTTGCTTTCCGCTCCTGCAATTTGTGTTTTGCAACTGAACATGTATATAGCTGTTAACAGTGTGAGTTTTTGCCAAATTTGTTGTGCTATGTGACCTTGAAGTGTTCTTGCATTGCTGCAAATGCTATGGAATGTGCTTAACTTTCTGATTTAGAAAGACATTCTTCTGGTTGCATTGCTCGGCAAAGAATTTGATATATTTCCAGCAAGCAGAGAACGTTTGTTCCTTTGGCATGTGTGTCGAAAATCTGAGAAAACAGGTAAGTTTTATATATTAAGATAATTCGTGTAAGTTTCCGATATTGAGTTAAATGTGGTAACACTAGCAACAACTGAAAACGGTATACAAGGGTGACAAGAAATTGAGAAAACAAGAAAAAACGTTGACGGAGGAGTTAGATAGATAAATAAATGTTTGAATAGGATGATTTTGTCTTCTTATTAACTGTCAAGTTTTGCTAGTATAGTCTGAAACAATATTTTAGACTAGAAGTCTTTGTATGAACTTATTTATACATTATTGATTTTCAAAATCACTGTTCCACCCAACATCAAAAAGAAAGAAAATTTAACACACATGTGATGAGAGCATAAAGCATTACGTCGTAGTTGACTTATTGTTCCAAAATATTGAAGTAGTAAGTGGGAAGATAGTTAATAAAACTTATAAAGTATTAGTAACATTCCTGTAGGGAGGTGGCCCACGGTTTACCCTGAGCATGGTCCTTCTTTCGGCGGCCTTGTATATATACCTATATATATATATGTACAAGAATATTCTTGAATACTGTCTCCAATATTTTTATCTGGGTATAACAAGGGACTCATTAAAAGTTAGAAGTGCAGAGCTTACGAGAAAGAGATAGAGAGAGAAAGAGAGAGGAGAAGGAGATACAAAGCTAGGAGAAACTGGGAAGAAATAAGTAATGAGAATTTTATAAAAAAAAAATCTGGAAAACGAAACGAACAATGATTGAAAATCGGTAATTTCACATCCCAAATTTTCAAAAAAAAAAAATTCCGGAAGAAAACATATCCGTTCCTTTGTAAAAAAAAACGTCTAATTTCCCGTCCTCCCTTTTGGAATCAACGAAATATATTTATTTAAAGGCATAGTTACTAATGAAAGTTCTTAACCATCTACAAACATAAGGTGGGTAAATTTATTCGGTTTAATAAAAATGTGAGCTAAATGGCAAAACTCACTAAAATGCTATTTGTTGAGAGCCATATTAATAAGAAATAATTCTCTACTGGGAAGTAAATCGGTTCTCTTTTATTTCAAGTAATCACTTAAAAGTTGCAAATAAGGCTATTGGATTTTCTTAACTTACCTCTCTTAGATGATTATTTGACCCTACATTTATCAACCGAGCACTGTTTTTGACTGCAACTTAGATCCGGACTAATGCAGTCTCTGGATGTTTTTACGTTTTCAAATATGTTTTCACTCTTTGAGTCTCGAGTTTAGATACACAACTTTTGAAAGCTTTGATAGTCGTATAATAAAATATTGGTAAAATTATGTCAACTAACGCATAAGAGATTTGTATGCTTATATCCGTTAATTAAATCCTCCGACCTTCGTCTAATATTCAATAAAATATAGTGAAAGTGATGTTATTGTTAAGTTCGTAAGTATTTAACATTCCTCTCAAAGCTGTGTATAGGTGCATAGTTTAATCTATTCAATCTATACAACTCTCAATTATCCAATGACCCCTTTGTCTAGTAAGTATGTCCTGAGTAGGTTATTTATATTTCGTAATACCGTCTTATAGTTCTCAACACTGCAGCTTAGTGTAGTATGAATTATAGTTCAACCCTTAGCTTAATATATATTATTCAATATCAACAATTGTAGAAGAATCTAATAACAATTTCTCAATGCAAATATCAAGCTAACCGGTAAGTACATTTGAGCTTAACGTGTTGCAATAATTTTTAAGAATCCACATAAAAATCTTACATCACATTAAATGAAGCCTTCTTAATGCTTATTCGTCGCGCCTTTTTGCCATTTAACACATTTATTTATTTTCCAGGTACAAAGGGGCCAACCAAAATTGGCCGTCCGACTACTAACGCCGAACCAAGTAGCACAGTTGATGGTCAGGCAACGCCAGCCATAGCCGCGGATGAGCCACTTGATTTGGCTGACTTAGATCTTTCGCGTCTACGTTTGAGCAAGAAGGATCTTGAAACGCTATCCAGCATCACACCTGGTCTACCGAAATGCTTCCAAGAACAACTACTGGCCAAATTGCCGCCAACACAGGCGCGCAAACTGTCACGCACGTTGAGTATGCAAGGCGGTACACAAACCGCACCGGTAAGAGTTTATAAGCGCAGTCAAAGTGGCGGACGTGGTGTGTTACACACCGGTGGTGGACAGGATCTTAAAGAGAATATCGCCGAAGAGACCGCCAGCAGTAGCACAACGAGCAAACGTAGTACAGATAGCAGCGAACGTCGACACTATGATCCCGTATATCGACGCAGTCTCAGTCGTACGCGTTACGATTACGAATCGAGTATTCCGTCTTCGAGCGATGTGGTGTCAAAAAGCCGCAGCAGCAGTGTTTGCCGTGATGATTACGGTAAATCGATGTGTTCCACTTATACAACTGACATCAATGATCGCTACAAATACTACTCACCATATCTTAATAAAACGCCGACTAAAGACTCATATACCGAAAGTGGTTCTGCGTCGCCGCAAAAACGTTATAGCACTTTAGGTATACCACGTGAGACAATCGGTTCTGCGCAAGGGCGTCCACCAAGTGGTTGTTTGTCACCGCCTATTATATCAGCAGACAGTGGTAACAGCTCATTGCGTAGACGATCTTCGCAGAAACGCATCTCACGATTTTTGCGACCAGACTTTTTCGATGAACCACTCGATGAGGATCCGTTTCAACGTGAAAAGAAACAACGTGAACGTGAGACTCAAAGTGTGTTGCGTGAAATACGAGAAAGATCACGTGAACCGAGTAGAGAGCGCGGTAATTACACCAGTTTTGATGCGGAGGACGCACTGTCGCGTAAAAATAGCTTACCCAATGCGGAAAGCTCAGGTATACCACTGAAAACGGAACCGAAACATGTGCGTAATAAAAGCATGGAGATATATTCAGAGTATCAGCCGGGTAGCAGTTCATCTCAGGAGACAATTAGGCACAACCGACGTAGTTTGTCGCGTCCACATGAGATGACTGAGGAATTACGTAAGAATGAGCTGGCTGATAAAATTTTGGAAGAATTACAATTACTGTCAGCTACACGAACACAGCAAGAACAGCAGCAGCTAAGATCGGCATTGCCAAGAGAGATTTCGGTAGAGCGCTCTTCTGAGACGACCACAAAGTCGGTAGTCGAGGGACTAAGTAACCGTGCGGAAATTGAAGAGAAAGAGTCCTCATCTACAATTAAGAAAATTAAAAAGATAAAACCTAAAGATAAGTCCAACACTACGGAATCTAGTACAGATGCGGATGCGACCGTTACCACATCTGTAGTGAAGAAAGTGAAAAAGATCGTGAGAAAGACTGAAACCACAAAGACGACTTTAAATGAAGCTGCCGCCGCTAATTCGAGTACAACAGAAGATAATATACTCACACCAGCAGAAATAGAACAGTCAAGGAGAGAATCTAAGCTTAAGCGACCTAAATCGTATCCAACCAAAGAGCCAAGTACTTTGACGCCCAAGTTACCTAATAAACCAAGCACTATACCAGAAATGACTGCAGATTCAACTTTAGAGGCGTCCAACGCTACTCGAGAAAGCCGACTGATACGACCTAAGAGTTACCCAGCCTCAAAGCTCACACCTCCGAAGGAATCGAGGAAAGTTACACGTAGTGGCGCAGCAATCCCAGCAATAGCCGAGGGTAGAGTGAGAAACTCAACGCCACCACTAGCAGTTGAAGAGAAGTTCGAACCACACACGCCAACATCACGAGGCACTATCGAGACTTCATCTTCGAGTGATAATAAACCTACCACTGTTAAGAAAATCGTGAAAGTTTCCAAAAAATCTAAATTAGCACAACCACTGCCAGTCACACCCACAACTCCGACGCCAGCAACAACGATTACGCCGGCGGACAACTGTAAGGAATCAAGTTTTGTGGTTAAAGAAAAATCTCCCGAAAAGAAACCGAGTAAAGGCTTACTCTACGCTATTGGCCAGAAGTTTGAAAAACTTCGCGATTCTGCTATGAGTAAAGAAAAAAAGAGCATAACTTCCAGTCCCACTTCTTCGGCCAATGGCGCGGTAGTAAAGAAAAAGTCACCAGAAAGTTCGTCACCAGATAAAGTAAAGGATAAATCCACGTTACTTAAAAAGAAGAAATCTTTGGATGGTAATTCACAGACTGCTGGTGAAAATAATACAACCGTTAAGCCACTGGGTATCACTTGTGAAGGGAAGGAAAAACCAGCAAAATCGGATAAGCGCTCGAGAATTGATGCAGTAATCCGTTCATTACGTGAGCGTTCCGTACCACGATCACGGCCCGCAACCGAAACAAACTACATCAAGCGCGCCGTCAGCGTAGAAAACATGCCCGGTACGTTTAATAAGAATGCAGTTAACCGGGTGTTAGGGCTGTTTAAGCGTAGTGATAAGGATGTGAATGGCGCGGAGCGGCGCGTGCAAAGCACTCGTTCTACCAGTAATATTGAACGTCAGATTCGTGAAACTTCGCCGTCGCCCATCTACCAAAATACGGGCGAATGTCATCGTTCCAATAGCATTTCAGCCGCTATTGGCACGAACTTGAGCTCTGGACGGAAACCAGAGATTACTGCCAAATGTAGCTGTGAAATCGCATCGACGCTTACAGTTAAAGCAGAAGAAAAGCAGTGCGTCGAATGTTTACAGGACGCCGTAGCACTACAGAAACCCAAGAGCAACCGGGATGAAAAGGATGTCGTAATGTCGAACAAGGAAATAACGCAGGGCAATAAAGACAAACGGAAGGGACTCATGCTAGATCTTACGAAACTGGATAAAATTGATAACAATACTACAACGAATCGCAACAACATAAAAGCGACCTACATGAACGGTAATGGCATTTACTCGAATCTGCCACCTTACCCTGGAGCAGTGAACAGTTCGTCAAATAACAGCTCCAGCCAGCAATCCATGGATAACGTCACTAATAATAATAACTCATATATGACTAATAATAATTCATCAATGCAGACCTCGCAAACATCAGGTTATCGCACCTCGTCGACACACGAGATAAATCGAAATCATTTACTTACACCATCTACTGAGAACATTGCTAATTACTCTTCTGACTCGCGTAGTTATCAGGATGATTGTGCCTCGACCTCGACGTTCTTATCGCCAACTGAAGAGCCTGAGCTCTATTTCGATAACTGGTCTGTGTGTTCGGAAGATAACTACATGCTACACGCTTCACCTTCACCAACAGTTTCGCGTCTCTCACGTGCATCGCAACTCTCATCACCCACACGTGGCGAAAGCTCCGATCCAAATGAGAGCGTTATTGATCGCATCAAACGTCGTAGTTTCTACTGCCGTTTTAACGATAAGAAACCTAAGCGCACGAGTAGCATTGTCGGACCGAGTGCAGTGCGCGACTACTATCGTGAGCAACAGGCCGCGATTAAAGCGCGTTCCAGCAACAAACTAAACCCCAACGAACGCGCCAAATCGCCAGACATTACACAAGAGTTCTTCAGACCATTGAAGTTAAGTCCAGTCGGCACTGAATTAAAACCACCCATTTACAAAGCGCCGTTCGATTATGCAACCAACATCACAAAACCGCGTAAAAGCCTCAACGATATACGGCCAACCACATCACCTTCATTGATCAGCAAGCGTTATGGCTCCACTGCCGACAGCGACTATATAACACTAAATAGCGGCGTGCCAATACGATACAAGCCATCTGCCAGTTCAAGTCCTTACGAGAGCAAAGTATTTTCGGCGACCAGTGGCTTGAGTATGGGTGTAGGTACCGGCATTGGCGCCGGTACAGGTGTTGGTGGCACCTACTACAATACCTACAGCCCAAAACGACGTTCCTCATATACATTCAATGGCACTCTGCCCAGTGGTGCTACACTTACCAATTCCACTTTGGATGGTTACGCGACGGTGGGTCGGCGACCTATACGCGCCTACGATCATCGCACCATGTCACTGCTCGATCCTACAACATCTTCTCCGTCGACAGCCGGTGTCAGTAGTTTTAGACGAGAAGCGCGCACGCCAGTACGGGACTACACTTCAAGTATTTCGAGGTAAGTTATAGTACTTACAACAATTCGTGGCTCGCTATTAATCTTGCATTTCCTAACGGTTTCTAGATCAAGTTCCCGTTATCGAACCTCGTCGGCCACACGCAGTCCTACAAACATTTGATGTACAACACCGCAGAATGGTTTCTGTATCTTCTGCTATTACTCAAAACGGAATCGTGGAAGCAGCACGCATACCGCCTCGTCGTCGGCGTCCTCAAGGGCTAGTGGCGACAAGAAACTGCAGGAATGCTCAACACGAATTAGAAATAAGTTTTAGATCTACTACGACAAATAGTGTTTACTAAGAAACTAATTTAATTACCACATATACATACAATATGTAGGTATGTATGGCGTACACTTACTTAAGTCTGATTCACACCGAGGATAAATATACACATGTATGTAGACGCTTCGTCTTGACAGTTATTAAGGGTTTCTGGTGAGGGAATTCTTGTAATTCAATAGTTGCTTTTGGGATGGAAAGAGTATTGAAACGATTGATTAATACACACAACATGTTTCAGTACAAATAAGTATCAAAGATAATTCTCTATTATTAAACCCTATTAATTGCAAGCTGTCTCTTCCTTCGCCTTATTTGCGAAAAGCATACTGCTAAGCTTCTCTCTTCTGTACACCACTTTAACTCATTTAGACAAGTCCATCTATAACTACGCATCAGTATAATCGATTGGTTAGTTAATTGAGTAATTAGAAGGCAATTGAGTTCAATTTACTAAATAAAGTTAGTTAACATTATTCAATAAAAGTTTTATTGCTTGCTTCAAAATAGACATATTTTAGGATTGTTCATAACTAGACAGATCCACCGGATTTCACAGAGAAGTCAAAACCCTTTGGTTTACAACGATTTGCGTAGAGATCGGCAAAATGAAAAAATTTCTTTTCCTGGTATGTAATATACCCTATTAGGTGAGATTATAGTAACGAATTGTATAGAAAAAGTTGACTGCCATTAGAAGTTGCATATTGTATTATTGAAATTGCCTAATAATTTGGAAAAATATCTAAACTTCGAAACATAAGAAATATATTGTATACCCTAAAAAAAATGAAAGCTCCCAGTTAGTAGTACAAATTATGGAATCAGTGAGTTGCCAAAACAATTTCCATTCTTTTGTCTCACCGCATTGAGCTTCCAGCAGAGAGTTAGGCAAACGTATAGATTTCGGTGTGAATTATTTACATTTAGAAATCTTTAGAAAAATTAAGTAGTAACAAAAGCGATTAATAACTATTTTTATTAAATTAATAGACTAATTATGATTACAATATGAACTATGTATAAACAGCTACATACTATATTAATAATGACTGACTTAAAAGAACAATAATACAATTTGAATTCAAATGACAAAAACTTTTTGGTTTTCATTATCTCATAGAACCTTTAAAAAGTGCCTCTTTTTAGAAAATAATTTGGGTGTTTAAACAACTATAAATTATTAAATAAAACGTATGTTGAAGAACTTGACTTAAATGTTTTTAGAGCGTTGCATGAATTGGAAAGAGAGACAGAAATAGCTTTTATTTGTATTTAATTATTTGAAACGTCGGAGAAGAGTGTGAACTTATAAAAATTTGGGAAATATACTTTTAAAATGTGTAAACGCCTCATAAAGCAACCAATAAAAAATGAAAAGAAAATTAACAAAAACGTGAAAGCTTTCCAAGAGTAGACGTGCATAGCAGAAGCGATATTTAGAATATACTCACTACAAATGTACCTTTAGCAAACTGGTGAAAAAAATTTGTTAATAAAGAAAAGCTTTTAAAAACTCCTGATTAGAAGTTGTTAATTTCAGTAGTTCGTTTGCTGTTGTTGAAAAAAACGACTTGTTTGAATAAAGAAAGTTCCAAAAATTTTAAAAACTTTAAAAGTTGCAAACTTTAAAAACTGTGAAAGATGTTAAGTAACCATTTTAATACATTTTTTTGGTAATTTTAATTTCTTATTACCACTTCGAAAAATTAAAAGCTTTAAAATCTACAAATTTTGAAAATTGTGAAAGCTTGTGATTATAAAAATAAATTTTTGTGATAATTTTTATTTCCAACTACTAATTATTTGACACGACTGCGAAAATATCGTAATAAACTGAAGCGAAATTTGGAACAGATAAGGCTTGTATTAAGCGATATATCTAGCATCCGAAAAAAGGCGTGAAAGCTCTCAAAAACACACATATACCATCGTTTCTAAATTTATACCATTTTTAAAGTTTAAGAAAATGTTTTGAAAAACCGCGGTAATAAAAGTTTTTTACGGGCACATCCAGATAGCAGTCGGCGTAAATGGAATTTGTCGTGAATTTTGAGAAGAACTGATTTTTTAGACCGAGCACGCACCCAAATCCCAAATACAAAAATAATTAAAAAACTATAATGCCAAAAGTATGAATAAATGTGTATGCTTGTAAAATCACACTCAAACTTTATTAAGAAATTAAAACTACAAAACAAATATTTATTTCGGAATTAGAAAATTGTTAAATCATAGAAATGTTAATGTTATTATATTTAAAATCGTAAATAAATGAAAAATGTTGGTAGGTGGACACACTGGTAATGTAATTGTGTAAGACTTGTACGTACAATATGTATATGTCGTGTGAATATCCCCTTTTAGTAACAGCGAATACGCATAGCGAATTTACGAAACGAATGCAACAAATACGTATGAATTCAAAACAGGCTGATAGACTTTAACAATGGAATTGTAAGGAAAATTATTAGATTTGAACTGTATGCGTACTTAATGGCACGGTATACATGAAAAACGTAGCTACTTGTTTAGTGAAAATGTAGTTAAGAGTAAATATAAAAATTAAATATAATATAAAAACAATAAAAAATAAAAAAAACTATATAAAACAATTTAAGAAATAGTTAATTGAATATATATTAAACAATAGAATATGAATGGATTTGAAGAGTAAACTAGAAGTCATACATTACACAGTTGCCAAGTTCATTGAATAAAAAAAAAAACCAAAAAAAATAAAAGTACATAAATAAAATTATATTTACTTAGTAACAAAAGTCTACTAAAATGCGCGCAGTTGTTTATTTTAATAACAAAAAAAAAACTTACTATTACTCATAGTGCATATTGTTTAGAGAATTTTTTTATAAAAAAATATTATTTATTTTTCAAAAAATAAATGAGAATGAAACAATATTGAATTTTATTTTTTTTGTGGGCAACTAAAAAACTTGTTAGAACAAATTTCAAACTGTTGAAACTAGCAATATAAGAAATGTAAGCAAACAATAGAAATGAAACTTTAATTAACAATTAACAACTAAAATTACAGAATTAAATACTTTTGTAATTAGCAGCTATATTGAAAAACATCCCTGCTTGCAACCACAAAAGAGAACTTATTCAAACATTTAAAAAATCTGTATGATAAAAAATGTACTATTTAGACTTCCATGTATATATATATACACATAGAACTATTGCGTTATTTCTCATTTTTGGAAATACAAGAAGCATCTATTAAATAAAAAAATACATTTTTGTTACATTCATTTGAACTTTTTGTGTTATTAATAATAAATAAAATATATATGATCTAAAATAGGATCTTTAGAGGTACAGAATTTCCTAAAGGGATAATTGTTAGGGCAACTGAGAAAGTATGTTTTTGCTCCAAGCTTTAAGGCTGAAAAGAGTAAACATTTCTTTTTATTTCTTCGTGTTCTTTAAAGCAGTCGCTTGCGCTTATTTATTGTTGTGATATTTTAATAATCCTTCCGCTTTATTCAGATTGACAATACAAGTATGTTAATGCAAGATCCACTTAGGACTTTCTTTTTAATTTCAGAATAGTACAGAATAGTACTATCTCATTCTTTCTCTATATACTATATTCGACTTAGTATGTGAGCTTTCCTTTTATAAAGCAAATTACTTATCTCATAATTACAGTCAGTGGTTAAAACTTTCTTTAAGTAGGCTTTTGTGTCTAACGAAACACCACTATTTGAAAATTTAAAACTATATATTACTCTAATAACAGTAACTACTCATAAGCGAACATAATTGAGTTGATACGAATAATTTACATCTGATGTAAATAAAGGTTGATAAAAGCTTTAAAGTTTTTCTATTTCTAAAAGCTTAAACCAAAGAAATTATCCGCAATGCACATACACAAATTCATACCTATACTCTTAAATGTATTCCTTCGTATAAGCTCATTTAGCTTTTGTTAAAAAGCTTTTATAGCATTACTGTTAACCGTACCGTAAAGTTTAAAGCTAAATGTAAGATTACTGTAAAAATACGGTAATGCAACACAACAGACATTACGTACCGAAGCCTCCAAAAAATATCGTTTTAAAACTGATTTTTTTTGCTAAATCATGCTTTGAAGAAAAAAGCATCATAAGGGTCTTAAATGAACTATTAAAAACTGCAAAGTATTTATTTTAAAGTTGTATATTTGGTAAGAGGTGGCCTGACCATAATCGAGAAGCTGCAAATGTAAGAGACAAGCCAGGAGGAGGGAAGAATCACGTGATATCTAAAAGTGAGGTCAAAGCTATTGTTCTCCATTTTGAGAAGAAACCACTGCTTAGTCCAAGAGAAGCAAAAAAATTTGTTTAAAAAGGGATTAGATATATCTCTAAATACAATACGGCACAGACTTCAGAGATTTGGCATCAAATGTAGCAGTAATGAAACCCCTGATTTCAAAAACACTCATTGAAAAAAGGTTGCATTGTGCGCAGGAAAACTTCAACCATGATTAGAGCAATGTAATACTTACAGATGAGTAACTTTTCTATTGTTCAACCCCTTGAGACGTGTTTGGCTAAGAAAAGGACAAAGATTTATTCAAAGAAGTGTTAAGCACCCCCAAAAAGTGCATGCTTATGGATGCTTCTCTGCTAATGTATTTCAGGTTTTGAAATTCTTCACAGTACAAAAAGCTCTTAGTGAAGTCAGCTGAAATGCTTTACGGCAAAAATAACCATGATTGGATACTGAAAGGAGATAACGATCCGAAACATAGGAGCAGACTCTGTACTCAATGGAAACAAGAAAATCATATTGTTACTTTAGATTAGATTTTAGATACATAGATTGACCATCATAGTCACCAGACGCCAATTCAATAGAGAATGTTTGGCCGAAAGCTAAAATATCAAGAAAACATTTGATGTCAATAAGAGCTTTCATCATATAACTGTAGGTCGATTTATGTGGAATATGCGGAAAATTTAGAATTGAATAAAAGTCAGCTATTATAATAAAATAATGTATTTTCTATAATTACAACATTTTTCCCAGTAACCGCTACCTAAACTTAGGAAATCGAAAACGTTAATTTTTGAACGCACTGTATGTGTTTTGCTTAAACCCTCTAACATCGAAAGCGATACATATTTCTTATATGCACAAAAAGACTTACAACACGAATCTCAAGATATCTGGCAATATTTTGCTCAACAATGTTTTTGTATATTTCAGTATATTTTTATATGATGTTCCATCCTCTCATCTATTTCCTTAGAATAATACCATTATGTCATCAAAGTTAGAAATTCTCTGTTTCCCAAACATCTTTTCTTATACACCTATTCCGGAAATTTAGTGGAATTAACATAAACAAATAGAAAACCATGACGTTCATTACATTTAAAATATCTATGTTAAGCAGAATTAAATTAATTAAATAGAACTTGAAAAATTAATTAGTAATTATCAGCTATGAATATTGGTTTAAATTCATAGAGTACAATTTAACATATTATTCTGTTGTTAAATGCATGTGATAGGCAATAAATTTTCGACTGTATCCCACTTAGAAAGGGTATGTAATAGACTTTGAATAGTAAAGTTCCAATATGTTATATATGATATATGGGGTCTACGAGAACCAGTTGAACATTTCCATTTAGTTTCATCATCAAAGCATGTTTAGCCAGAGGGGAGAATGGGTATATTCGAACTAACGATATGAAAACATATGGACATGATTAATGTCATCTGTGCTCACCACCAAACTGTGTCCGAGAAAGCAACTTAATTATATAATATATAATATTATAATCGTACAGGAGCAAACCGTAGGTATTTTTATGGCGGCTGAGTCGGTATAAACCGACTTTTGTAAAGTAAAGGATACTATTTGGTATCAGAATTGAATTCCATTCGAAGAATGTGTCTTTTTGGTCGGATTATTCAAACTATTGCAGAATCTTCATACCAACTTATGCACAAAATTTGCTTAAAATGGGTCGTAAAAGTTTCCATGATATACATTTTTAGTTAAAAGCGGTTATTGTAAGCCCATAATAATATCCTCCTGAATGCCTACTTTTCAGAAGGGCTTATTTAAAAAGTTATTGTGGTTTTAGTAACTTAAAATAATACCATTTTTTAAATTTGACTCAAATATGTACAAGTCTGTTTTATTTTCTAATTCACGAAGCCAATATTAATCGACAACTAGTTCCAGAACCAGTGTTGCTTTCAACGGAATTAAAATCGATTCCAAAAGATATATTTATATAGGAGGATAAGATACGTATTATATATATACAAGTATATATAATATATATATACATATACATATAAAGTGTTATGACTTTTCCTATCTCGTTTAGTAACGTTTTGGTGTAACAATGAACCGTTATTAAAACATCAATATGTTTTGAGAGTGTAATAATAATTGATATTGTTTTCAAACTTCACAAAATAAACTAAACCTTGATGAACATAAACGAGTTTCGTACTATAAGTGCTGAAGTGAATTTCTGATTGGAAATGTTTTTTTAAACTCGGAGACTATGTAGGTCTTGATTACACCTTTAACCTAGAAGCTTTCTAGTTTATAGGTTAGGAATTTTTAAATACTTAAAAGTCATATTTTAAGAAGGGTATTTGAAAAATGAATGTTCCAATATTATATAATATATATGCATGCATATGTTATATTCGTTTATTCATGACGTCTGCATTGTCTTCATTCAGCGCTTCTTCATTATTAATTTATATACATTTACACATATTTCAATAAATTTAATTGTCTCTAACAGTCCGCGCTGCTTTGTATTCTCGCGTTGCTTTATTAGTCCTCCACAAAATTAGTGTAAATTGTAAATAAAGCTCGCGGCATGTCGTAATTAAACACAAATCGTTGTTGACACGACTAGACAACACTTTCGAACTTTCACGTACACATGTACAGCCATGTCTACAAATGTTCTCATGTACCGAAAATAAACGAATCGCAGTAACTCTTTAACCATGGCAAGTATTTTCGCAATAAATAAATGACCTGCGGATATAATTATGTAATGAAATCAAATGAAAAGTGATTTTAATTAAACGCGCTCTTTGCCTCTCGCTGGTGCACAAAGTTCCGCTAATACTTCTCTTCTACAGTTTCCCACTCCTGGGATATTAAATTGTCTTAGAACTCATAGAATTTTATTGCCTGCAGCAGTTTTCATATTAGTTATTGCTGCCACTGAATTGGAAATTCGCAATTAATCTGTTATCATTGGCAGGGATGATGGTGTTTGTTGCATTTCAACAGCTTGTGAGGTGACAGCTCGGCAATTACTTTAATCGTATTAGTTTGACTTTATGCGCTGTGTTGAGTTTAACTTAGTTAACTGCAGATATTTTGCTGAACTATGCAACGTTGGTTAACATAAGTCTGCATGCATAAGTTAGTGCTTGGATGACTTTCAAATGTGAAAATAGTTTTACAATAAATTTCGAGCTTAAGAGCAAATGACACGCGTAATGATTTGCCCCAAGACCTGAATCGAAGCGGGATTGTGTGCATAGATATATACCCACAGGAAAAAGTCACACGATCTTGGTGGCCAATCTGCTCACCGAAGAGTTCTCTTAATAAATCCCTTGATCGATGCGATGAGTGTTAAGTGGCACCGTCGTTTTTAAACCAAATGTCGCCGAGATCACGAGCTTCAATTTTAGGCAACAAATAGTCGGTTACCATGGCGCGATCACGGTTGCCGTTGACGGATACGTTCTCACGGGCATCATTTTTGAAGAAATATGGACCGATGATTCCACCGGCCCACATACCACACCAAACCGTTGTTTTTTCTGGATGAAATGTCAGCTTTCGAATCTCTTCAGGTTGCTCTTCGTCCCAAATGCAACAATTTTGCTAGTTTACATATCCATTGAGCCAAAAATAGGCCTCATCGCTGAACAAAATTTAACTCGAAAACGTCGAATCTTCTTGGAACTTTTCGATTTAAGATCTCGTTGCTGCGAACGATGCCGAATCGACTCTCCACGGTCTTCGTGTACACTCTCAGTTACGGTCGCTACATTTTCTTTACTGCGTGCTGGACGTGGTCTATTCGGTCGAATATTATATAATAATGAATGCTGAGTCTCAAGATGAGTGATGGTGTTGCGAATAGTACGCTTAGTAGGCGATTATGTTGACCATAAGTTGAGCAAAGCACGCGAGACACATTCTTTACAGAACGCGAATTTTCTTTATAAGGCTAAGGCATAAGTCTTTCCATGATAAAAT